AGTTAAATATTTAACTTGCTAGCTAAATATTTAAGTTGCAACCTAAATATTGAGGTAGCTAGCTAAATATTTAAGTTTCAAGCTAAATATTTAGTTCAAAACTAAATTTTTAAGTCACAAGTTAAATATTTAGTTTGTTAACTAAATATTTAATTTGTAAGTTAAATATTTTGTTTATTAACGATGACATTTATAAATGTATGAATCATATGGTGAAAAACTGACTTTGAAAAATAAATCTGTTCTTTTTTTTCTTATAAAAGGCTACATAAAACAAAAATATTGGTGGTAATTTTTGACCGTGTAACTTTACAAACAGCACCCCATAGTTTTCTTGTCTTCTGTTTTAGCTAGTCCAAATTTACTTTTAACCAACACCAAAAAGCTCCACTGCTTAAGTAAGACAATAAAAATATTTGTTTTAACAAGTGATGGTGATTTTTGACTTTTATTCAGAAAGTTGTCATTTCCTCTGTATGCTGCTTGTGCAACGAGTAAACAATGTGACACAACCCACAAAAACATGACCCCTTAATCTACAGATTGACCTGTCGGGGGGAGTAAAGCATGTTGTGTTTCCGTTAGCATGCTGCCTGACACATACATGCACTAAACACATAGTAAACTTAGAATAGAAGTCAAAGTCACACAATAAAAAAGGACCAGCAGACCTTCTCTAAACTCCTAAAGGTAGACATTTTTCAGTGGTTCCTGACTGGAGTCGGGCTCACCTGGTGGGGTGGGTCGCAGCGCCCTGCTGGGGGCGATCCCCCTGACGATGCAGTCGAACAGGAAACTGATCTGCTCTCCTTCTGAGCAGGACAGGAAGTAAACGCCGGCCCCTGGGAGACGCAAGAAAGACAAGCGGTGAGTAAATAATAATAATAATCATAAAACAACCTCCAGCTGCAAAAAAGTTCAGCTGAGAAGTAAACAGTGTGGAGGAATGATGTTAAAGGCAGCTGAATGGTGTTGTAGTGAACTGTGCAGAGCGAAATGTTCTTTGTGAGCAAGGCTGAATAGTTTTCAGAGTTTCAGAAACCAAGGCTGTTCTATGAGTCAGCAACAAATCTTTTTGTCTAAAGGTTACACGTGTCGATCACTGCAGCCACGCAGAGGTGTCTGCCAGTAAAAACAGGCAAAAATTAATGAAAAACTGGATAAAAATAAAACATCAGAGTCTCACAAATGAACCAAACAATCATAGTCATATCTTATGAGTTTGGCAGAAAATAAAAGGTTTATTCTTGCAGAACTGGGTTTGTTTTTAATAAAACATTTAATATAATTAGTTTATTGGATCAGTAAAGTTTGCTTTTGTGAGATAACTTCACTATTTCCTAAACGTTTTATGCATCTGATGCATGAAAGTCTGCTTCCAAAGCAACTTTAAGCTCAATAATCCAGTTTTCTACTCTGATCTTAATGAAAATCGTTTCAGTTTATCGGCCGTTCGATTCAAAACATTTCGAGTCGGAGGAGCCGCTCGATAACTAAAAGGTTCGGTCAAAGTCTCACAGTGGGAAAATAAATCAAACTGCATTAAAAAGGGGAGATTAGATGGGGATTTTTAGATGATTGTTTGGATAAAAAGCTTATTTTATATGAATCTTTTAAACTTCTGTGAGTTTTTTTACTGCCACAAACCTGTTTTATACACAACTATGTTTGACTTATGGTTTTAAAATTTGAGTATCAGTCAAAAAATAAACTAATAATAATTAATAAAGTAGCTGACACAGATTTTCTGCTTAATTCTGTTGGATTTCATGTTTTTACAAAATGATCATAACTTATCTGTTAGACTGAAATCTAATGTTTATCACTGACCCAAAAATGCTTAAACCCCAACTTTCTGCTTCATTAAAGAACTAAATAAAACATTTAAAAATCCCCACTGCTGGAGATAGTTTATCACTCAGACATCGAATCACCTGGCAGCAGCCATATGACTAAATATAAAAGTCAAACTGTCACACGTGCAACAACATAACTATCAGAGAAGGTATGTGTGTTTAGACCTGCCAGCCCAGCACGTGAGCTTAAAATGGATTTATGTGGAACAAGAAGCCTTCAGACCATCCAGCCTCTGCAGTACATTGTTTTATACGTGTCAGCACGTGTGCATTAAGAACACGTTCAGCTGTTTGTGCTGCAGGGTTGAAATGAACACACCTGCTGAGCCAGAAAATACCTGTCATATTGATCATGTCACTCACAGAGCAGGGACCTTATTCTAATGGCAGAGGTGTTACATGGAGAAAGGAAATATAGATTTGGACGTGATTAAAAGAGAATAAGCTGAACAGGTTAACTACTTTCTTTTTTTTTTTGCACCTTCAAGCTGCAAAACAGAGTTCAGTTTGCATGTTTTCCATGCAAAGATCCAGAGTTGTAAAGTAACTAAGTACAAATACTTTGTACTGTACTTAAGTATAATTTTTGGGTAGCTGTACTTTACTACAGTAATTATTTTTCAGCCTACTTTTGACTTCTACTCCTTACATTTTTACAAAAGGTAAGAAGTAGAAAGTTGTTATTTTTATTTCATTTTTGCTTGTATTTATTGCAGCTTGTTATTGTAAAAAAATAAATACTATCCATACAAACTGTGCCTCCTAGATAGAGTGAATTTAATTGTGGTTGAATGAGAAGTATAAATATATAAAACTCTGATACTGTATTAGTTTGTACACAAACAAATCATGTCACACTCCAGCAGGACAGAATCATTTAAAATAAAAGTACTGTACTTAAGAAGTATTTGTATTTCATGAATTTTTATTATTATTATTATTATTATTATTATTATTATTATTATTATTATTATTATTATTATTATTATTATTATTATTATTACATTTGGCCGCAGCCCTCAGATAGATTTTCATTTTGGGGAAAAGCTTTGTGCAGCCTTGATATATGTATATAAACTGAAACAGCTGGACTAGTGCATCCTAAATTTAACATCCATTCATTCTTTTAATACAACAGTCATTTCTGCAGTTTTTGGGGAGGTCACCTCCTAATAAATGTCCTTACAGAAAATCTAACTGCTCTTTTTAAATCTATACTTTGACTTTTAATACTTAAGTACAAAAAATATCAGATAYTTTAAGACTTTTACTCAAGTAATATTCCTAAAGGAGACTTTAACTTTTACCAAAGTAATTTTTTRRTAAGATACTTGTACTTTTACTCAAGTATCACTTTCTGGTACTTTATACAACACTGCAAAGATCCTTGAAATGATGCCCACCATAAAACAACTACTTCCTATTAAAATGTGTTGCATGTACCAATAAACAAGTAAAAACGTAAACCGACGCTCTGTTTTACTTTGAAGCCATGCGTGGAATGTGACACACAGACTTGACTTCTGTCACTCTCCACCTCTCCACCATGCCAGGAGGGCCTTGGTCTGCTGCCCCTGTGTCTGCTGGGTAATGTGCTGATGAAAGGACGGAGGACCGTGGGGTTGGACATGAAGTCAACAGGCTGCTTGTGATTGGCTGAGAGTCCAGTCCTGGTATTTATAGATGTCTCTCATGAGAACTTTGTAACCAGAGCCTGAAAACCTCACGGTTATTCCTGTGTTCAGTCGCACACACTCTCTTTGGGAAAAACAGACAGTGCAAGAGAGAGTGCAATCAGGAACTCTAATTATTTCTAAATCACTTCAACAACAACGGAGGAGACAGATTTACGTGTGCTAAAAACTAACAACTTCCTGTGAAAGAACAGCTGTTAGCAACATAACACCATCTATGATTTCAAACTTTAACCTTGGTCAAACCCACACCCAAAAACATAAAGCTGCCTCTCATTCCTAACATCCACGCCCAACGTGAACTTGACATTCAGAAGATGCTTCAACCCAGGCAACCACAACATCCACGGTTAGTGGACATGGAGACGTTTCAGACACGAGATATTTTTGTTTTAAAAACACCTGCAATAAATCTGTTTTAGCAGTTTGTGTTGCAGGAACAGCTCACACTAAAGAGGACTAAACCATGTCATTTAAGCAGATGTGCTTGAGTGATTTTAAACCATATTATTTTATGAAAAATAATGTGCTTGATCTTGTTTGTCACCAAATACCTCATAAACCACTGAAGCAAATGATTGACACATGCAGAAAATAAACGTTGGACCCATATTTACAACATTTTGGTGTTAGTTCAATCCAAAATTGGCTGCCACAGCTAATTTATGGAGGACCGGAACTGACATAATTAGAAATAAAAGCAGAAATATATAAATGGATAAATAAATAAATAAATACACTTAAAATGCATCAATTGAATTAAAAAGGTGAACTTAAAAGTGTTTTTCCTCCTTGCCTTTGTTTTAAACTAAACTTTAATCTAAACTGAAGCAGCACAAGCATGAACAGGCGCATGGTTCCTGCTCCTTCCTGTCTGTTGACCAATAGGAGAGGAGCTGACCCAAGAAGGCCCGCCCCACTTATTCGCATTATGAGGCAGAAATGCATACGGTAAAGTCAAAACAGGAGACAGAGAAATGTAAAAGCAACTCATGGAAATGAAAAGACTTGTGGGAAAAATTATTTAAAAAATAATTAAATAGAATCATTTAAGAGACACAAATCATGTACAAGTAAAAGGAAAAACAAAAGTATGTGCTACAATTTATAATTTATTGGAACTAAGCTGGAAAAATAAATATTAAGGTCAAATGAATGATAAAACAAGAGGTAATGTTCTCATTTTTAAAATGTAATTGATGCATTTTAGGTGTATTTATGTATTTATTGGTCCATTTATATATTTCTGCTTTTATTTTTAATTATGTCAGTTTCATTCTTCCATACTTAACCTTAGCAAACACAGAAATGGCTATAAATCAGTCAAATTTACAGATACTAAGCTAACATTTGGTGTGGTAGAAGCTGAGAGTCAGCCTCAACACATAGTTTGAGTTTTTATCTCACATTTTAGCATTAAGTCGTGCATCAGTAAGGTTTGGTATAAAAGGTGTTGTGGTTAAAATGTATTCCTTCATAAACTTTACTCCTCTAATCATATTATAAAGTTTTCAGTTCACAGATTACTTACACAATCCACAGCGAGTCCCCCCTTCGAACACAAAACCGTTTGGCACTGCACCGTATCGCCGCAACGCCGACAACTTCCAGCTGCCGACAACAACAGGAGGGACGCCCCGAGTGAGGACCAGCAGGTTGTTGCACAGGTGCAGGGAGGCGGGGCCACTCTCCAGCTTTGTGCCCGGTTCCACGCTGATGCTGAACCTGTGGACTGAAGGGCAGAAAGAGGAGACGGGGAGAAACTGAAAAGTTTGGAAAAGAGCGAGCACCGAGTGTACTACATTCTCATCAAGCTGTAATAACTTACCTGGAGAGTCATTAATCAAACAGAAAATCAGCCACATAACAGGTGGAGGCGGAGCAAAAAAAACAAAACAGAAACAGATCCTCCGGGTTTATCCCGTAAACAAATGCAGATAGCTGGGGTAATGATGATTAAACCGTCTTTGGGCTCTGCTGGTCTTAATTAGTCATTCCTCAGTTTGTGCAGATGGTACATCATCTGTCTGTGGACCCGAAGTTTGTGAGTTTTTAGCAAACAAGTTTTAAGCTGCAGTCTTATCGGTCTAAACTGTGTTCTGCATCAGTAAACTACCAACTTCAGCTTTTTGTAGTGATTATCTTTTCCCTTACTGCAGCAACAGTTTTTAACAGTGTCAATTTATTTATATAGCACATAAAAACAACACGACTTGACCAAAGTGCTGCACAATTCAGCCAAATAACTGAACAAAACAACAAAGCAACACAAATTGTTTAAAATAAATAAGATCAATTTAGAATAGAGAAATACAACATTTAAAACACTGGCTTTAAAAGAATCTCAAACTCTTCCAGAATGAAAGGCCGAGGAGTAAAGATGAGTTTTCAGCATAGATTTAAAGTCTCAACAGTCTCAGCAGACAGAATGCAAAAAGGTAAACCCTTCCAAAGGTTTGGGGCAGAAACTGCAAAAGCCAGATCACCTCTAAACTTTAGCCTCAATCCAGGAACATCTAAGAGAAACTGGTAGGATGACCGAAGTGTTCTGACTGAAGTGTGGATGTTAATGAGATCACACAGGTAAGATGGGGCCAGACCTTTTAAAGCTTTTAAAAGTAAGCAATCAAATCTTAAAATCCATGCTAAAGCAAACAGGAAGTCAATGGAGAGAAGCCAGAACTGGTGATGTGTGTTCGTGATTTTTAGTACCTGTTAAAAGACCAGCTGCTGCATTCTGACAACTTGTAAGGTCTTTGGTTGGGAGGTACGACTTCACCTTAGCAATAAGTCTTAATTGGAAAAAAACTTGATTTCACAACTGAGTTTATGGGTCTGTACAATTAGAAGACACTATCAAAAATAAAACCTAAATTTCTTACAGCACAGCAGCTGTATGAAGCCAGAGGACCAATACTGTCAGTAAAAATACCTTTACTGAAGCTGATGACTTCTGTCTTACTTTTCTTTAGATTTGGGAAATTTAGTTTCAGCCTGATTTTTATGTCATTCAGACAGCTCAGGAGTGATTGGAGTGAATTAACTGAGTCTGGTTTAATAGGCAGACAGACCTGTATGTCATCAGCAGAACAATGAAAATGAATCTTATATTTACTAAAAGTGTACCCCAGAGGCAACATGTAAAGTTTAAAAAGCAGAGGGCCTAGAATAGAGCCTTGAGGGACCCCACAAGTCAGAGGAGCTGCAGAAGTGGGGCATTCTCCTGAGCGAATAAAAGAACTCCTACAGTGGTTTGCAAAAGTATTCATACCCCTTGAACTTTTCCATATTTTGTCACATTACAACCACAAACATAAATATATTTCACTGGAATTTAATG